AAAATGAGAACCAGAATTCACAATAACAGAGGAAACCAAGTAGTCAGATCTGTCAGACACACTGGGGAAGCTGAAGCCCAAAACTATAGGGAACAACAACCAGCCTATACAGAACAAATGAAGTTATCTACAAATTCATTAGATATTTTTCTCAGAAAAGAATCAATCTCTTCTGGCAGTTGGTGACAGTAGATGCCAACTGTCACCACGTCCATTTGGCCCAGCCTGTGTATTTAGCAGGTCAGTAACCCTCATCCTGATAAACAAATCTTTTTATAATCATTTGCCCACCCTGTGTAGGCTGGGTTATTAATCCTTTCCTCAACATCAGTGTTGTGCCCAACATCTCTGCCTCCACCACTAATGCTTTCTTCAGTAGAAGAAACAGGCACTGTGCCAAGTGTATCCATTCACATCCAGAGTAGGAAAACCAAGGATTTTTGAAGGAAGCTATTGTGCCTACAAACAAGATGTTTTATAGGGCGGGTATGCCCTCAGTGAAGGATTAGCCCTCACAAAATGTTCATAAATGGAGGCAGGCCCCTTCTGTCTTTTATCCTGCACTAAAGTGAAATCATGCTACAACAATATCATTCTGGGTCTTGCGTACCTATGGAGTCCCAAACGTGCCCTAGACTAGAGTTTTGAATCTGACAGCATATTCAGATGTATATTTGATTTCCCCCTAGAGATCCCAATGTGGAGCAACAGAAAATATCTACGGGAGTTTGAGGTTTAAGTATATGTATTTTCTTGCAATATTTTTATACTAGCTCACTGCATTGTTTCATACACATAAGATGCCTCTTACATTCATTGAATCAATCGGTATAATGTTGTATTTCTCTTCTTGCCATCATGGGCTATTTTTGTAGAACAAGCTTTGGGGGATTTTCAGTAGAAATGCCCAAATGGAAAGGCAGATTGCACTATGCTGAAGATGAAGATACACTTTTTTTCTGAGGACATGGCAGTTTAGCTCTGTTAACTGCCCAGCTCTAAAAATGGCGTCTCAGTAGTTAGTCCCATTAGACTCTACAGTTCAGGCTCCCAAGTAAGTAACTGCACAATTGCAACTTATATTATGTTAACTTATGTCATCTAGGATTTCTTGTTAGTCCTTGTAAATTCGCACACCAAGGGTCTTCAAACTTGGCCCTTTTATGACTTGTGGACTTCAACTCCCAGAACTCCTCAGCCAGGCACGCTGGCTGAGGAATTCTGGGAGTTGAAGTCCACAAGTCATAAAAGGGCCAAGTTTGAAGACCCCTGTCCTACACTGACTGACTGGTTTTCAAGTTCTAACACTCATTCTCACTCATTTTCAGGGCAATTTAAAATCAGAGCTGCAATGGAGCACCCAAATGAACCTGTAACATAGTCCCTTCCCAAGTATTTGTCAGAATATCATCATATATAGACAATCTCCACCATTTTTATTTTAATCCTGTCTCGTGGTGTAGCTTCCTAACACCTCTTCATAACACAGAGTCATGCATACATATATTTTGCTGGTGCTTGCTTTACATAATGCCCAGAGTGCATGCTGTCACAAAACAAGACCACATTTTTCAATGGTAATTAGTCTACAGCTTGCCTATGAGGGGCCCTTCAGGATCCTCTGATTGTCCCATGATTATTCCCTACATAAAAGAGATTTCAAGGTGTTCACTGAGTCAACAAGAAAACAAGAATCAGAATCCAACAAAAAAGTATTCACATTTTAACAGAGGTACATCTCCTTCACTCTGTGTGTGTGTGGGGGTGTGTGTGTGTGGGGGGGGGGGTTGATGATTGCAGACTTAAAGCACTGCTTGAATGGGCTGAAACATACTTAGTTCTATACTTAGCATTAGTTTTCAATCAGCAGATCTGAAAAAAAATTAGATCTGTCGTTATTTTCAGGTCTTCCTAACTCATCTTCTTGCACTGAATAAAATTATAGTTTCCCAGAATTGTTCCCCTGTTTAAGATTAAAATTATGATGTATAGACCAATAGAGTTCCCTTATATAACACCCACATTTATGGAAATCTATGGAAGGATTCTGCACCAAGGAGTTTGAATGCTTGCAGGGACCCTGTGCTACAATATGATCTGGAGTTATAATTAGGTGTCATGGCCATTGTAATCCTAAGGACGTCATCATGTCTTACCAACAACTGTTGACAGTTCTCATACCAGGCATATCCTGAAATGGCAAGTCTGCAGAGGGCAGCCCACAATAGAAACAATGGCATTTATTTTTGTCCTGTTCCAAGATTGTCTCATAGAACATATATGCTAGCCAACTGCTGGGCTTGTTTGGCTGTTCAATATTAAATTACTGGTTTGAACAAAGCTCAGCAACCATGCAAATCATTGTATATATGGACTTCAGGAATGTACTTTGGGGAGCTTATTTTAGCATCATGGAGAAAAAAGCCTGACACCCCCAGAATTTGCAAATCCACCAGTCCTACTGGGAGAGCATGTTGCTTCCTGAAATCCAAATAACAGACTTTTCTCATGCCAAGAAAAGAGATTGCCTTCCCTCAGGAGTTATTTATAGATATATGCATCCAGTTAACCTTTTCCCTTTCTTAAAGACTGAGGACAATGTAAAACTATGAAGGTTGCAATCCACCAGCCACTCAAATCAAGTGGGTTTGTTGGGGGGGAGGGGAAATCTCACTGAAAGGGCTGGACTGCAGTGGAGCAATGATTTAGAGGTTATTTCTTTTTAGCATTTGCATCCTGAAATATTAGGGATGTCTAACATTTTGTCTAATTGGGACTAAACAGCAAAAACAAAAATGACACATTCTTGTAAAACTTAATTATTATAGATGTAAATTAAATATATTCTGTATTGTCTCATCTGTCGTGCTATGGTAATTCTTTGGTAGCGTCCATTGAAATTGTTTCACTTTTGTGAGTTTTTAAGAAAAACTTTCAATGATTCCTGAATTCTAAATAAAGCCAGTTATGCCACTAGAAATCAAACCTTTCAAAGCCTCAACTGGCAAAAAAAAAACCTGCTCTTTTCCACAAGAGAAATAATTGCTAAAGAAAATGCTGTGAAAAAGCATTTTCAGAAAATGGCTATATTTACATACCTCCCCAAAAGTCATGATAGACAAGCTCTACTGGTCTATCATGCTAAACTGACAATTCAAGTACCACTCTAATACCGTAAGCTTAATAGCTTAGCATATTGTGGGAATCATGATGGATAGCACTCATGGGCTTAAAAATTGACTTAATGCAATGTGTGAACACAGCCCTTTTCATAGCTTTCTTGTTAATCTTAATGGAATATATTCAGGAAAATGTATGGAGGATTCTAACCAAGTACAATACAGCTTTACAATGGATAACCAGATCTAGAAAAACTGTGGTTTAACCTGTCCTCAATTATAAAGTTCAAAGGTGACCTTGAGCCAAACACTGAGACTCAGTTTAGCCTCCTTCATAAAGTAAGAATAAAATTGAGTTTAATGTATTTGTGTCATTATGCAAGCTCTTTGATACAGCACAACGCCCAAATCACTACCCCAAACAACATCGTGCTATGTTTCAAAGAGAGCAGCTGCAGATATTATGATCAGACTATAATATTAAATGGGGCAGCATAAACCTTTTTCTTCAGTGTCATGATCCCAAAACACCCTCAACTTTTATTAGCAATGGGTAGAAAGCTGTTCATGTCACTAAGAGGGCAAAAAAGAAGAGGACCAACACCACTCCCCTTTACACCTTTAACAGAGCTGGGATTGCCTCTGTGGCTGCTGTTTAACAAAAACAAAACAAGGAGAATCCTTTAAGCATTGAATGTACTATGTAGTTTGACTCCAAGCTATATATTTGATTAAATCTTCCTCTATAAATATGCATCATGTTGAGCTTGGAATACTGTCTGGCCTTTTAAATCAGAGGACAAAGAAAAAACATGATATGATTAGGAGAGCTGAAATAATTCTATTATTACTATAATATTTTGATCTACCTGCATTGAACATGTAGTAAGATAAAAGACAACATTATTCAAAAGAAGTGCTAAAGGTAGCAAAAATCTTATATAAGCTTTGACCAAGAAAAGATGATGCTTCATTTATCTAATCACTGGACCAATTCATAGAACTTTATAAATGTGCTGAATAACCTTAGTTGAAGGATTGAATCTAAACATGCAATAAAATCCCAAAGTATTCCTAATGGACTCCTGCAGTGTGCAGTATGCAGTAAGGTATTCAGTTTGAAGCCCAAGTTCTGAGCATCAACAATTAGGACTTAGTGAGCTTCTGATGAAATTTAGAGAAGCAAAGGCTTTCTTCCACATTTATTCTCATGTTGTCAACTGTATTTCAGAAAGCATTTCTAGGATCATGTTCACAAGGGTCTTCCTTTCTGCCCAAGCAGCAACAAAGAGACAGAAACGGTATGCAGGACCATGTTAGAAGAGACAAACGCAATGTATTAACTACCTGTATATGGTTGGTTTGTTTTACCCTTAACATCCTCAATCTATGAAGAACTACCTATGTTTCCTATAAAACTGTACTTACTTTAAGACAAACAAATGTATGCACACATATAAACAGGTGACTACCGGTATGATGAAGGGGTAAGGTATTGAAGTAAAGACACACAAATTCTAGTTCACTGTTAGTGACTGGGCCATCTGTCTCTACACCTAATCTATTTTATCCTATTCTGTGAGGAAATTTGGGTGAAGGTGTACCATGTATTCTGCCTTTGGCTCTTTGGCAGAAATCTAATTCTAACAAATAAAGAAAATAACACAATTCAAAATGCATGGTGAGATAGTACTCATGCTTCCAATGATAATACAACACCAAATCTAAAATCATCATCCTAACTTTCACTGCCCCTCCTCCTGTATTTTTCACCCCCCTCTTCAAGTTTTCAACAAGTGAGCATTCTAGAGAGTGACATGACAATCAGCACAAAATTCACATTCAACTGGAGATGGTTTTCTTTGGCTGGGCTTTTCTGACCTTCCTTTGCTGCTTCTCCCATGCCGGATCCAGGAGCAGGTCCCTGTCCCATTCTTCCTCTTGGTTCATGTATTCATACTCTTCATATTCGTAGTTGTATTGTAGGTTGGAATTGATCTGAGTGGTCATCTTGCTTACAGACCAGGTTCTTTTTCACCGCTGTAGATGCTTATTGCAACTTACGAAGGATCTTCTCAAGATGATTGCAACAATGGGGAGGATAATATTTCTTGTAACAGAAATTAATCTTGCAAAGAGGCCCAAATAAGGTTTTTTCCCCCTTTACTTGGCTCTGTAGCAGGAAGGGAAGACAGAAGAGGAGACAGAAAAACTGACAGCGGGAGCTAGCCTTCACTTTTTCACTCAGCTTTCCTGCCCCTGGACTGCTGCTGCTGCTGGCTGTAAGCCGGGTTCTGGCTGAAGGCAGCTGCTGGGCACAGCTTCTGCTTTTTATCCCCTCGCTTTGTCACCTGACCCTGCTCTGCATCGCTTGGGACATATCCATCCCCTTCCCCTCCCTGACTGGCCGTTTTGAAGTTTCTCCTGCCTTCAGAAGAACTCTGAATTTGCTACCTAATCTAGGGGGAAAGACATCGGGTTTGCAGAGAGAAACAGATGCCCAGAAGAAAAGCATTTGTTACTCTCAGGAGCTCTGACCCACCCCACCCTCCCCTTCAAACTTGTTACAAAACGTAGCCCATCATAGGTTTACCGAAATATTATCTTCTTCTGCAACTCAAGGAACTAGAAATACATGCATATAAACATGCATGTAAATGGAAAAGCAATGAAGAACAAGATGATTAAAATAAGTTCAAATAGCCAGATGCACTCTAATAATAAATGACTTTCACCTTTACTTTCCTCCTGAAAAGTACTTCCAGGCAAGTCTCTTTTTCTATTTCAGAAAAATAGATATATAATGTTCTAAGATAAAGTGTGCCATGTTATTCTGGTTTTGCAAAATTGCATCAATCTTATTTTGTAGAGCAATTTTATTCCCTTTTCCAATAATACTGCAGTTTTGTGATTCTTGCCAAGAATGGATAACAAAACCATTTTTTCTTGCATTCAATCGTGACTGATTCTCAGAGACTGCCTGGACACATCCTTGTAGTTTTCTTGGCAAGGATTTTCAGAAGTGGTTGCCATTGCTTCCTTCTTAGGTCCGAGAGAGAGTGACTGGCTCAAAGTTACTCAGTGAATTTCTATAGCTAAGGGTGAAGTTGAACTTTGGTATCCCCAGTTTTAATCAAACACTTTTAACCACTTTACCCGACTAGCTCTGTATAAGAAAGCTGAATTAATCTGAATCAGCAAATAAAAATTGAACATTATTTACTTTTTCTACATGATTATTAGGGTACACTAAGACTTGCAAAGTGCAATCCTTTCGATCATATTATCAGAACTATAGTTTCCATTATCTTTTATTGGTTTATTAGAGATTTCATCTCCATTCATTCACTGCTTGTTCTCTGCCTATCCTTGCTTTAGTCTATCATTTTGATTCTCCCAAGCTGCTGAGAACTGAAGTTCATATGAAGAACCAATACAATTGTCCATCTCTGCTATAAAAGTTTTGATGATCCAATATCCTAAATACCAACAACTTGATTTGGGAAACTATTTCAACCCTCCTTCTGCAAAATAGAAAGTCACTGCATGCATCAACTCCTAGGTAAATAAAAAAGGAACAGGAACATACAGTGTATTACATTACCAGAGAAAACAGTAATGTAATTCAATAGAGTAATCATAAATTACCTGAAGACAAGGACATACATAAGAGAAATAGAGGAAAATGGGTAATACATTGCAAAACAATTCAAAATCGTTTCATTTCTATGTCCCCTAAAAAACTGAGTTCTTAACTTCTACAAGAGAAAACTGTTATTTGCAAATGGTGAGAGATTTTGCAATGCCACACAATTTCTCTCTCCTTTTCCCACATGGTACAAATTCTATGGTTAACTCTGGTTTAAGTTCACCATCCCCATGAAAATCTTTAGATACAAACTCCTAACTTAATCTGATTAAGTGCTTCAGCAACAGCAAATAGTAAAATTTCCCACTTCTTCGCAGATGTGTCAACGGAAGTCTCTTTGCTTTTCTTTTTTCCACAGTTAATCCAAATATATGATCCAAACATGTAAACTATCATTTTATTTGCTGTGTGAGAGGCAAATGCAGAAATACATAGTGCATTTAAATACATGGAGATAGTAGGTAATAGCTGCCACTGCAGACTTTCCTCCTTAAGCCCCAGTGATGTGCACAATCCAACAATCTGTAACAGCAATCTTGGGCTTAAACAAATGTGTGGAACCTATTGCAGATTGCATAATCTGATCTCTTGCAGAGCATTTATGGTTAACTACTTCACATACAAGTAGCCCTTATTCAATGACCACAATTGGGACTGGCAACTTGATTGCTAAGTGAAGCAGCATCTAAGTGAAACCGTGATCATGTTTATGAACATACTTCAGCTCTCCTTTACAGTATATTACAGACCTGCAAAGGTCCTAAATGTGAAGACTGATCATACCATTATCTTTTTCATCACTGTCATAGCTGTGAACTGTCACTAAATGAGGCAGTCACTAAACAAAGATTACCTATCATCTCAAATATGTCCTACACAGGGCCTAAATGGGAAGTTTACAAAAGTAGAAGTCAGTGTACTTCTTGAGATGAACTATAATTTAAACCAGTGGCAAAGTTACCAATCTCTGAGGAGATTAAGCCAAGGCAATTATTTTGAAAAGAGTTTACAATTACTTAGTCATGCTGGCTCAGAATAAAAGTCTGCTCAGAACCTCTCTCCACAGTATCAAATAGACCTAAGTGGAAGCAGACAAGCAGGACAGAAAACCAACAGCACTCATTCATTTGCAATACCTATCGGTACCAATTAATAGTCAGAAAATTCTTATCTGTAATAAAACATAAAAACAATATCTTAACAGTAAAACACCGGTCCTCCATGAATTGTTCTAATTTCATATCATTTATTCTTGTGGAGTGCACTACATGACTTTGATGCTATGTAAAGAAAATACTTTCATGTGTTCTGAATCTCCAATTTTTAATCTTTAGTTTTTCCTTCTTAGTAGATTTCAGTGAAAAGGAAAAGGATGCCACAGAATAACAAAAAAAGAGAAGGCTATATAAAGTTTTAAGCAAAGGGTTAACTAGAGTAACAGAAATTCTTGAATGGAAATATGGTGGGTTTTTTAAAAAAAAGTCCTACTAAAAAGTTATTTGATTGGATTACAATTAATTAGCTAATGTGAAATATGAATTCACATTAGCTATTTGGTATTTGGAAGTATACATTATGATTTCTGCTTGAAATTATATGTAAATGAACTATTTCTATGAAATCAATACATCTATTTCTTAGCACATTACTTGAAACAGTAATTACATGTTATTTCCATGTAAACATATTTAAGCCTTATTGATTTAAAAAAAATCACAAAGAAAAGGACTGGTGAATCATCTTCCTCTGAATGTCTTAACACATGAGAATTTCAGGAACACTACACAGACTTAGGATATAATACACACAGTGACAGGTGGAAAACTACAAATAGTGCTGGCATAGAGCTGGAAAAAATGGCGAGACAGATCCAAGGTTTTAAAAATGGTTCAGTAGTGGGAATGCAAAAGGCAGAAGAAAAAAGAGGCCAGGAGTTTACATGTAGAATAATTTACCAATGAACTTTCAGACATGCATACATTTTAAGCATCTAAGCTCTGTTTCTATTTCACATTGACTTATTATCATTGCCAGCAATGTGAGAAACTGTATTTTTAGTTCCACTTCAAAGACTCAATCTAAAGGAGAGCTATTTTTCTTTTAAACTGTTGGCTGCTAGTGATTCTTTTCAAAGGTGCATCACACTCTTCAACAATTGACAATTGTTATTACAAAAATTGCAGAGCGCGCAGCAGGTTGGACTGACAAGCATAATGGAGTCAGTTCAACTTTATACAACCAGCAATTATCTGGGTCCCCACTGGAGGATCAATATCATGCAATATGATTTATAAGGTGATTTCAAAAGGGATAATAGTAGTGAGAACACGGAATAAATTCTTTAATGTTGCTTATTGTTTTTGTTCATACAATACTTACAGTACCAGTCTGCCAGTTTTTTAGATTGTACCCTGGAAGCAATCCATGCATTATTTATTCAATGCAAGCCACTGATTTTTTTTAATTGAGAGGGGATGAAAAGATGTTTAATAAATAAATAATAAAATAAAAAGACTCAGACTACATTCACACACTACATTAACCCTACATTTACACTTCCCTCTTGCTAATGTTCAAAACTGCTTTTTTAAAAAACTTCCTAGTTTAGTCTCTAATGCAGTGGTTCTCAACCTTTTTAATGCCGCGACCCCAACCGGTCGTAAGTCGAGGACTAAACCAGTTGTAAGTCGAGGACTACCCAATCGGTCGTAAGTCGAGGACTTTCCCTGCCCGGGAGCGCCGCACATGCGTGGTTCCGCCCCCTGTGCCGGCCGAGGCGTAGCTGGCAAGCGGCAGGATGGAGCAGGCCGACCACCAGCTGGCCCAGCCCAAGGGAGGTAAGGCACCCGCCGGAAAAGGGGGAAAAAATGGCAGACAAAAAAAATGGCAGACAAAAAAATGGCGGACAGCCTTGCTTGGTGACCCCCGTGAAATGGTCGATCAACCCCAAATGGGGTCCCGACCCACAGGTTGAGAACCACTGCTCTAATGGTCTCTAACTTCAGGTTTCTTGGTGGCCCCCCATATTAATCAGATCCAACCCTGCACACCTTGAGATTAGGTAACACAGAGGTGTGGATGAAGCATGGCCAAAAATGTCAATATGATGGTCCAGACAGTTTCTGGATTTTATGTGCAGCCACCATGTTGACTTTTTTGATTGCATTCTGGAGACAAGGTGCAAGGTAAACTAAGAGCTGCCAGTATTTTGATATTGAATACAAAGTAATCCTTGATTTACCACAACTGAGCCCAAAATTTATGTTGTTGAGACATTTGTTAAGTGAATTTTGCCCCATTTTACGACCTTGCTTGCCACAATTAAATGTATCACTGCAGCTGTTAAAAAAGCAACTGAATTTTGATGACATGACTGTGGGGATGCTGCAACGGTTGTAAGTGTAAAAA